AATATATATATATATATATATNTAATAAATTCCCAATGAATCCTAGTTTGATCTAATGGCCACGATTGTATTCTGTATTTGAATTTTATATTTTTTTTTTACAAATTCAAATCACTTGAAATTTGGAACATCTATTATTAAAAATAGGTGAATCTAATATAAATATCAAAAAACTAATTCACAAAAATAAAATAAACCAAAATACTCTTGAAATTTTAAAGGTATTTTGGTCAATTGTTTTTAGAATTATTTTTTAATATTTCTATTAGGTGCATCTTGATGAGAAAAGTGAATGTCCAAATTTTATATGATTTAAATTTATAAAAAAACAATTTAACAAAAAGGGGGAAATCTGGAGCTGGTCATAACCATTATTGGGTGCCTATATTCACACCTGGCCTTAAGGGCAAATAAGATAAGGCTCGGGACATCCAAATGGGTCCTAAATTTTAACATATGCAATCTTCTAAAACCATATCTCAACTCTTATACACCCAATCCTACCGATCATAGGCATTATGCATAATTGTCACCCACATCTCATGCTTGGTGCAGAGTTTGTGTGTGGCGCCATTAAGGATATTCATCTTACTATTATCAATAAGCGGAAAAAAGAAGTTCTTTGCTCCTTTGCCTATTATCAGATAGCACCTTTTGCGGCATTTTCTACACAAGTGAGGCCCTAAAAGCGTCATGCACAAGTGCCTCGTGGTACTAAACCTGCACACTAGGATGAAAGTTATAGTACTAATCCTCCACCCAAACAGGCCATTGGCTTGTGAGTGTAGGACTCAAACTTCAGGTCTGCCCTCCCTCCAGGATTTGATGCTTTGTAAACCTACAATCCTAAACATACAGCTTGAACTCATTTTAGATGGCTTTTGTTGTGATTTGAGCACCAAGCATAGGATGCCATTTGACGTAGTTCAAAAAGTTGGCCACTGATGTCACGTTTTTTTCTCTCAAAATCTGCCAGTGAGAAGACTTGAGCATATGAAAACACTGGGAGCATCGATTCTTGCTTGATTATTGGGATTTTTCAGTTTTTTTTGTTCACTGAGAGCATTGATTCTTGCTTGGTTATTGGGATTTCAGTTTTTTTTGTTTGAAACCTTTCTCTCTCTTGCACCAGGAGGAGAACAATGTAAAGTTGGATGGTTCCTCAATAATGGGTAGAAAGTAGAAACACACATATGGGTGATTATTCATCAATAGTATCTATCTTAATAGCATCAATGGGAAAAATAATGCTGAATGGGAATCTAATGCCATCCAGGTGCAAGTGCCAGTGCCCCCCACTTCAAATGTTTGTATTCTCTCTTGGTTCCCAATATCAACACGAATAAGCTAGCTGTATGCCTAATGTTCAAATTCTAATGTCACTTGCATGCACTCATATAAATATGAGTGCGTATAGTCACACCAACTAGGACTGGACCAAGTAACTTGTTAGGTGGTTGGCCCGTTCCAAGAAGAAGAGAGGATGGCATCGATGAAGGCCGAAAAACCTGCTGCTGCAGCAACTATGTTTGGTCAACCTAAGAAACCCTCTGAGGTTACTGCTGCAAAGGCCCAGCCCTCCAAGCCGGCCCCAAAGAAGTCCGAACAGAAGCCTCGAGAGCCTAAGAAGAAGGTTAGCTGGACCGAATGCATGCACACCCCATCTCTCTCTCTCTCTCTTGCTCCCTCCCTCCCACTCTTTCTCTCTCATGCACATACACACTATTGAAAGTAATACAGTGTGCTCCTTTCCATGAAATGCTCGGACTCCTCATATCTCGTTTGTCATTTCAGGCTAAAGGTGGGAAGCCGGGTGCAAAGAACTGACGAACAAACATGCAAGACCCTATGCAGTGTTTAGTGGATTAGTTTGGCACATTTCAATCATCTAAAGGATTTTATATTACAGTCCTTCATCACTCAGTTTCCATGTAGTGTGTGTGCTGTGCTTATGCTAATGAAATAATAAACCATATGTTTTAAAGGAAAGAGAGACCATGTCTCGAGGTATGACAAGATTATATAGTATCTTGGGACAGTAATACCCAACGAATGCATCGCTTGCATTGTCCTCCCAACCTTCTTCTGTATCTTCTCTCTTGTAAAGAGCAACCATCTTTAGTCCCAAGAAATGTGAAATCATACATGAAAAATGATGGCCGGACATGAATCGAGCTCTTTGAGAATTGAAAAAAGAAAAGAAAAAAGAAGAAGATAAAAACTGATCAATTCAAGGATTCTAATTTTCTTGAAGTTTCGGGGAAAAAAGCGATGAGGCATGCAGGGATATTTGCAGCTTGATTTGTTCACAAAAACCTAAAACATATGACTCACGTGGATGAACTTAAAATTATAAACACGATCAAAGAGCATGATGTGCAGCTTGATAGCTATCACCATTGCAAATAGTGTCTTGTATCATATTCTACGATATTGAAACTCGATACTTGGGTGATATTTTTAATAAGCATACTCCCTTTATGCATAATATTTAGAGGGAAAGGCTCTTTATTTTGGGATTGTTTACAAATAGATCATTTGTCTTTTGTACATGGAAGTCACAATCATTCTTGTTCTTTAAATTTCAAAATGGGTGGTTATAAGAGTGTCATTGAATAGACACAAAGTTCCAAATTTTTTTTTTTTTGAACTTCTTGACTCACCCCAAACCATCCAATTTGACATCTTACTAGTGAGAATGATTGTGACCACTATGTACAAAAAATAAATAGTCTCTTTGTAGACAATCATTTTTATTTTTCTTTGAAATAAGAACATGCCCACTTTTTTTATGGGAAAAGTATATTACAAGAAACTAGGGAAAACCATAATCATCATCACCGTCTGTGGACACGATGGATGGTTAGGAGAGAAAATGGGACTTGCCCTTATGGTTATATCATTCCTTGGTCATCCCAACATAGCGCACACCTAAGCTTTAATATTTCAAGAATATATATAGCACTTATCTCTACAATAATGCTATGGTCCCATTTTCGTTGTTAATTAAAGGCTATATATAGAAAGAAAAAACTGTTGAATAACGAAAACACTTTCCGAGCCCTTTATTACACAGTAATGCCATGGTGCCAGTGATGTCAGGCATTCTTTCAATTTCACGAAATTTAGTACACAGTAATGCCATATACGAATTCCAGTGAGGATAGCATCCATGGTGCCATTGATGTCATGCATTCTTTCAATTTCACGAAGCCAAGGATGACATAAGACAGCAAAACTATTTCCCCCAAAAAAAAGAATGAGAGTGAAATCTCAAATGGCAGTTCAAAGGCCTTTCAACTGTCCTGTCAATCCAGTTAAGGAGGTCCATTTCTCCAAAGCGCTGGCAGATGACACAAAAGCACCCTTCGACGAGTCGAGGTCTCTCTTGGACACTGCAGCCAAAATAACTTCCTTAAGTTCCAGAATGATATCTTGAAAATTGTAGGAAGAGAAAGAATGGATAAGGAATCAAGTGGTCACCTGATGAAATTAAGGATGCCAAGGAGGAATTAAATACATCCACCTCAGACTTCTCCTCTGGACTAGAGCTGAGCTGAGAAAGCATAATGCATTAGAGTGATTAATGCTGGATGGCAAACGCAATAATCAGAAACAATGAGGAAAAATTATGAGAGGAGTTTGAAGAACACCTTTATGAAGGCTATATTGATATTTTTGACCCACTCTGAATCTGGACTTGGACCAAGAACAGAGCTAGCAGTCAACAAATCATTCTTGTCTATGGCTTCTCCCACTCTGCTTAGCTTGTACACAAGATCCTGCAAATATGCTGCAACAGGGATGCATAAAAAAGCCGAGAACCTCATCACTTTGTCTATAATATTAAATATGATAAACTACGGAAACAACGACACCTGGTTCTCTTTGTCCCCTATTGTTAGACACCAACCCAATTCGAACAGAGAAACCTCATTCCAGCAGGGACATTGTTGGAATTAGTTCACCATGTCCATTGTTTGAAAAAATTGTGAGAGCAGGTGAAACCCTCAGAAGGATATAGTATTTCAAATATTAAAGATCCACAAAAACATGTATATGAACATTATATGCATGTACATGCAAGGTTTGTGCCATTTATTTACCCTAAGTGGTATGGGGCTCTCCATCACAATCACTAATATTTTAGAAGCAAACATTTAGAACAAAGTTCAGAAAACTCATCTCAGCCAAGGTACTCTGCCCTTGGCCGGGCAAGGAACTCATCCGAGTCCACACACGTACAACCAAAAAATGATCAAAAGAATAGGTAAAAAAAAAAAAGTTAAAAAAATAAAAAAATAAAAAGGTAATAGAAAGCATTAGAAGACTAAAAAGATGGACAAGATCTATAATTTGAATAATTGCAGAAAATTAAGAAAAAAAGTTAAAAAATCATAAAGTTCTCAAATCATATCAAAAACTACCAAGATCATCTAAAAACTTATTTCTAACAAATACAATGGTATTTCCAAATCTTCTACATTTGTATATCTTTCTACTACATTTATAAGGGTGGGGCAAGTTACCGTGGAAATCAGCCCTCTTTGACCTCGCCCATAGGGCGGGTCTGAGTAACTTGCAATGCTGATTTAGAATATTTTGTGAAGCCAGTAACGTTATAGAAGTGATTCAAGCAAATAACAAAGATTGCCTGGAGTACGTTCAGATAATTCTTTAAAAATGCATGTAAGCTGTTCTCGTTGAGCAATACAGTGATTAGAGAATTGCTTTTGGCGCATGTAAAAGTACATATCTTTTCCTGTAACACATTGAGCTAATTCTACAAACTTCAAAATTCTAATCATACATGATCAAAGATGGATGTCACTTCTTTTGGTAATAATGATAAAATATGTTATGTCCTAATGAGTAGGTTGAAATTGCACATAACTCATGTCACCAGCAATTCAGATAACTTTAGGTGGCCATAGTGTTCGGTAGGAACAGGCATTGACTGAAGAGGATGTTGCAGGTTTTTTCATCAGAGCTTCATTGAATCGAATGGTGTCTGTCAAATTTATGGGGTAGGTGGTGTTTTCCTTGGTTTGTGATGGGCTCTAGAGCCAATTAGAGGTCTTCAATTTTGAGAAAAGCCATAAAATACTGAACCAAGTGGTTGAAAGCACAAGCCGAGGATGTTCCTAGAGGGGGAGAAGGTCAACAATCACCACATCCATTGGGGCGAGTCGTGCTAGGATGCCTCAAATCGTGGCCTCGGAAACTAGCAATTCAACCAGCTAATCGAGCAAATACCGGCCGCTAAAAAAAATTGTTAAAAAATTACAAAAAAATCTAAAAAAACATGTAAAATATATCTAAAGCACAATTAAATAAAACATATCCATATCCAAATGAAGTTGAAAATTCAGTGAAAATAATGGATTTTAATAAATCAATTTTGTCCCCCGGGGATATTTTTGAACTTTTTTTTTTTAAATGAAACATGAGAATTTATAAGCAAAACACTTTATGCCAAAATGATAAAAAATATTAAAAATGCGTTCCAAATAAATTTCTTTCTTTTTATTTTATTTTCTTTTACTTTTTTTTTTTTTTTCTTTTTTGCATTTTCCAATCTTTGCCGAAATGAATAAAAACATTAAAAAATACATTACAAACAAATCCCTTGTCTTTTGTGTTTTTTTTTTAACACCCTATTATTAGAACACCAAAACCGGCCAAAGTAACCCGCCAGTGGCCAGATGTGATCAAACCAGACGGTTCGGTTGCGTTTGAACCGGCCAATATTACGAACACTAGTCTTATGCATAAAATGCAGAATGAAAAGAGTAGAGACCGGTATAATAATATATATGATAGTAGTAAGAAAAAGGAAGTAATTGTATGAGAGAGACCAGTTTCATTGGCGGAGGAATTAATGACGCCTTGCCTCTCAAGTCTCTTCTTCCTGTCCCTTTTGACCATCTCCAAAAGCTCTTCATCATCCTCCGCTTCAAGAATCACAGACTTGGAAACTGGGGGCAGAGAGAGAAAGAGGCCTCCTCCCAATCCTATGATGCTCCACCTCCTGCTTATGTTCATGTTGCTGCAAACAACATTCAATCCTCCTCCTCCTCTTCCTCTTGTTGGTGTGCTTTGAAGCGTGGTGGTTACACGTTCTGGAGAAGAAGAAGAAGTTGCATTTATATTTGGCAGAAATTGCGAGAGAAGCAACGCCATTGTTATTCCTGCACTTTCCCCTGTTCTCTCTCTCACCTCCAAAAAGGCGATTGGGATAAGGCGAGGACAAGCTCGTTCAGCCCAGTTATTATGGACCCACTTCGCTGCCGCATGATCCAACTCCACACCCCCAATTCCCATCTCATGGAAAAGACCTCAGTCTTCGGAAGACATCTAGAGCTACACTCCACTCAATTTTTATCACTCTCAATGTTAACTATTAGGGTGCGGCTTCAATTGTGATAGGAAGGATGCGGTTTGTATAGACCCTAAGCTCTAAACAAATAAATTAGGAGAAATGTGGTTTCAATAATGGAAATTTTTGTGATAGTTTTAAAATATATTTTTATTTTTATTTATAAAGTTTAAAGCTTCAAAAATAGTGTAGATCGACAAATCTATGAAAACTTGAAAATCTTGAAAATTGACTGTCCAATAATGCATTACAAAATACACTATTTTCAAAACTTGAAATCCATTTTTTCTTCTGTCAGTGCACCTTGATGTTGAGATGATCACTTTGAGGATATTTGGACATTAAAACAATATCTTTTAGTAAATTTTTTAAAGCAGGCTCTAGTTTGATTGTTTAGAGCCTCAGCTCTATATAAACTTTTCCCTAAAAGTGCAAGCTTAAAAAATTCTATGTAAACTTGAAAATCTTGAAAATTGATGGTAAAAAAATGCGTTACAAAATATACTATTTCTAAAACTTGAAATCCTTTTTTTTTTCTTCTGTCCATGGGTCTTGATGTCAAGGTGATAAAATTTGAGAATATTTGGGCATCAAAACAGCCTCTTCTAGTCAAATTTTTGAGATGGGCTCTAATTTGATTGTTTAGAGCCTCGGCTTTATATAAACTTTTTCCTAAATATTATTACATAGGGTGAACTTCATATAAGGTGTCAATATTAAATAATCCAAGTAAGGCATCTTCATGCCTATTCAAAAATATAATTTTAGTGTCATTAATTCTTATATCGACCTTCATGTATTTATAAAGTTTAAAACTCCAAAAATGATTTAGAACAATTACATCTACAAGCATTCATTTATCAACCCTTTAATGCTTCTCCCAAATCCATCTCATAAAAAAAGCCATTCATTTATCAAGCCTATAATGCTTTAAACTTAGATTTTTAGGGGCTTCTTTAGCTTGAATTCATTTAAAATCAATGCCAGTTATTCATTTCAAAAGAACAGGGGATTCATTCATTCAGAAAAATGCTATGATCAAGCTCTTATTCGGGGCGCTGAGCCATAAGCCCCCCCATCGATTCTTAAGTTCTTTATTTTTATTTTATTTTTCAGTTTCATAGTGTTTTCAACATGTTACCATGTATTTATGTAGTTATTCCCGACTTTGAAGTGATTATAGTTGGCGATACCAACGATCTATCAGAGAGAGACTTGATCACATTTGGGATAGAATTTGACAAGATCCCTAATATTTTTAATTAACTACGTATAAAGCGAGTTTTCACCAGATCTAGTATCAGATCGGGCATGGATTCAACTATATACAACTATTAGTACCGTGATACACCGATCACTATAAAAAATCTACTCATCCAAAACCATTAGTTTCCAGATCGCTCAGGTAAGGAATAAAATTGTCTACAACTATTAGTTTTGAACCGCTTATTATAAGGAACCAAAGTAGTTTGCAACTAATATTTCTAGATAGCTCATTAAAAGGATAAAAGCGGTTTGGAACTTTTAGTTTTGAAAGATTCATTATAAGGAATATTAGGTGGGACTCAATAAAATATTAGATAAAAAAAAGGGAAAACAATAAAAAACAGGGGTTTTAAGGGGGACATGTAGTGTCTCGAAACTGGTTTGGTGTGGGTTGATTTCCATCCAAATCGATGATCCAAATTGGAATAGCTGGATGGAAGCGATTTGACTAGCTAAAATTGGAGCTATTAGTTCGAAACTAATAGGTCTATTATCCAGTCGGAGGAATTTCAAGAAAAATAGAAAATAATAAATTAAAAAATTATATATAATGAGACTATTTATCTTGGATACAAAGAAATAACTTGATGTGTCGTAAGTTTGAGAAATTTTATATCTCTTTTTTTTGTTTGGTGAGTTAGTGGAGAGACTACTAATATTTTAAAAAATGCAATGAGGCACTACTAATATTTGGGCCCAAAAGGAGTCAAGTTGATCATACACTCTTTGTGAAGAAAGATATTGTTGGAATTACTACCCTTATTGTGTATGTTGACGATATTGTTGTGAATGTGAATAATACGAGGGACATTGAGGATCTTAAATCTTGTTTAAGAAAGGTGTTTGATACATAAGATTTAAGACCCCTTAAGTACTTTTTGGGAGTTGAAGTGGCGAGATCAAAGAAAAGGATAGTCATCTCCCAAAGAAAATATGTGTTGAACTTGTTACAACAAACGGGGATTTTCGGATCTAGAGTTGCATATACTCCTATAAAAGTTAATCATAAAATTCATGGAGGAAGGGGAGAGCTATTCAAAGATCCTAATCAGTATCAACAAAATAGTGAGCAAGCTTATATATCTCACAATCACTCGACCAGACATTTCTTATGCAGTTAGCATTGTTAGACAATTTATGCATGCACCACGTAAACCCCAACTCGATTTTGTGTACAGAATATTAAGATATCTCAAGTCAGCATCAAGGAAAGGGATATTTTTCTTTAAATCAAAGACATCCTGATGTTGCAGTTTACACAAAATGTTGATTGGGTTGGTTCCCATATTGATAGAAGATCCACAACTGGTTGTTGTACCTTCGCTTGGGAAACCTGGTTACTTGGAAAAGCAAGAAGCAAAATGTGGCAGCTAGATCAAGTGCTGAAGCAAAATACTGAGTAATGGCTCATGGTACATGCAAAGTACTGAGTAATGGCTCATGGTACATGCAAAGTAATGTTAGAGTCAAGCTTCCCATAACTCTATATTGTGATAATGAAGCAGGCATTCATATCATAAAAATATTGTTTTTCATGGAAGGACTAAACACATTGAAATAGATTGTCACTTTATCAGAGAGAAGGTTGTTGCTAAGATCATTCAGACTCCTCAGGTAAAGTCGAAAGATCAACTTGCAAATATCTTCACCAAAGCCATTGGGCGGGACAAATTACATGATATCACAAGCAAGCTGGGCATAATTGGTATTTATGCCCCAACTTGAGGGGGAGTGTTGGAAATGAAAAGAATAAGTTTGTATTTGATGGATAGAACTACCATTTATCTTTTGTTTGTCATTATTTGTCTTATGTCTCTAGCTAAGGGCATTATTATCCATAAATTATAATTAGGGTTATCACTTAATGTTATAAGAGGGGTAGATGTTACAAGTAACCTCTAAGCCACTCACTTTCCCTCTCTAGCTCTCTATCTCTCACAGGTCTCTCTCTCTCCTTCTTCACCATATTTATTTTCTTTCTTCTCTTTCTCTCTCTAAATCCTACCAAACTATTTTCTTCTCTACTTTAAGTCAGGAACTTCCAAATGAGATATTTTTTGATGTCTTGGTCATAAGAAGAAAAACCGCATTAGCGTGAAAAACCATGACATGACTTTGGATATTTTTTGTTATTAGATGTATAACCGCACTTGCATGAAAGCCTCATGACAAAAATATGCACATAAATGTTAAATTCATTAAGTGGTAAAGACTTTATGATATTTCAATATATCTTGCGTCATAGCCAAGTGGGAGATGTTGGTACGTGTGTGTGGCCATGGGGCCTTTAAACGTACAATATTTCTCTCTCTTATAATTTAATGCTTATCTCTAAAAAAGGGAGGCTTCTTAAAGAGAGAAAGTACCGTTATCTAACGGCTAGAAAGTAACCACCCACTTCCCAAGATTACAGGGCCACGTTTTTTCAGAGATTTCAAGAGGAAGCCGAACGTTGGAGAACGACCTCCTCCATCTCTCTTTAAGAAGGGTTTCATGACCATGAAGTGGTACACATAAATTTATAGTGTTCTCACAGTTCTGGTAAAATCTTGGTCTTTACTATTGATAGTCTCAAGACATTGCTCTTAATCCTAGAAGTGGGTCCATCTCTTCCCTCAAGTTTTTCAACAATATGGGTGTTCAGTGTTGCAATCAGCATTTATGTAGTTTGGATTAGTTCTTTGACTCATAGAAGGTTAACAACAAGTTCTTGTACCTTTGTTTGTGGCAATCTCATTTCACAGAAGACTAGGAAATGCATTGTAGGGGCCAAATAAAGTACTGAAGCATAATAGAAGGCCACAACTCATGGAACTTGTAAAATTATGTGGATAGAGTAGAATTATATTTGCTGATCTGGGAGTTGAAGTTCAGTTATCGTGACCCTTCATTGTGATAATGAAGCAGCCATCTCAAATTTCTAAGATTCATGAATATCATGACAGAACAAAGCATATCGAAGTGGATAATCATTTCATAACGGGAAACAAATAGCTGGAATTATTTGTACTCCACATGTGAAATCATGAGACCAACTAGCAGATATCTTCATAAAAGTAGTGTTCACGTGATAGACTACAAATTATCAAGCTGGGCATAATTGATATCCATGCTCCAGCTTAAGTCGGAGTGTTGAAAGTGCAACGATAAGTTAGGTGCATAAATGGAATACATCACTTAATAAGGATATAATGTGGGTTCTCATTTAAAAAAAGCATTACTGTAATTTTTCCATGTCAACAATATATAAAATGTAACTAATTTTTCCATGTCAACAATATATAAAATGTAACTACTCTAACTCAATAGACTAGGCCAAACATTTAGCCTCATTTTTCTCATGCCACCTCTCTCTCCTCTTCTCGTGTTCTCTTTTCTTCTTATGTATTGATCTTACACCAATAGTTTCATACCTAGATCTAAATCGTTTTTCCAATTCCAGTTGGGAGTGATGTACAGAAGATATACAAAGCAGTAATTTAACATACCAATATTTTTAAAATATTATTTGTAAATTTGTATAATTATACATAATACTTATCACAATATCCAGAAAGTCTGTTGAGCAATGACAAGGAATGGAAATTAGCACATTTTCCCTACATAAAACAAACAATGTCCAACATAATTTACATATGTTCCATTTCATATTAAAGAAATATCAAGCCAAAATATCACTCAAACTTTACAAGCC